AAGAATAAGAATAAGAATAAGAATAAGAATAAGAATAAGAATAAGAATAAGAATAAGAATAAGAATAAGAATAAGAATAAGAATAAGAATAAGAATAAGAATAAGAATAAGAATAAGAATAAGAATAAGAATAAGAATAAGAATAAGAATAAGAATAAGAAACCCCACACTACATGATTTCTAAGATGTGGTGCAGGAACCCAAAACCAAGCAAGGGTTAAAATGCTCCAGCCCTTTGCTTACTGATTTTATGGTATGTACATAGGTACACAAAAGAAACTAGTATGGCATGAAAAAGTTGTCCTGTTCATAATCTGAGGACAGTAAGAGATGCACTGAAATTCTGCTGAGGTGTCTGCTGTACTAATTGGCATTCCAGAAATGCTGGGTTTGGTCATAATGCAAATGAGAAGGATGATTGATTCTGAAGTTCCTTGCTGCTACCCGTGCTTCTGAGGAACTAAGCTGGTCTGTGAAACATGCGCAGCGCATGGGAAGAGGTGTTTCACTGGGTCTCTATACCCAGTTCTATACCCAGATCTCATTCGTGTCCATAAGGAAGTACCAAATGGAAGGCAATCGTCAGTGCATCTCTCATGACACTGGAATTTGGAGGCCGGCACTTGCTGGTGTGTTGGGTTTATTTGCGAAAGGCCTTCTGGAATAATCTCCTGTCAGGCTGGAGATGGCATGGCATGGCCTAAGCCATCATGGCTGCGGAGGATATGGTGGCAGGCACGACTGGCACTGTTTCCACTCCTTCTAGCAATTAAGAACCAGGCAACGGGACACTATATCCTGAATGGGAAGGGGGAGGAGGCCAGATCCCGCTCCTTCATCGACCTGGGCGTGGAGTGGGAGTACAACATTGAAGATGACATTGAGACCCTGCACACAGATGGGCCCCTGCACGACGCTGTGGTGGTGCTGGTAGGTTGGTTGCTGTGCAGTGGGGAGCTGGTGGGTTTGTCTTCTTGGAAGAGCTCCTGGCCAGCAGGGAGCACCTGGGGTAAGACACGTGGAAGACACGTGCTGAGGAGATGGCTGATCGCCCTGAGCCTGATTCTCACCGGCTGTGACATCTCCATTGCAGACCACTGTCTTGCCAGTGCAGCAGGACTGTGGCCACCAGCAGCCCAGTATGGCACTTTCAGACATCTGTGGGACACTGTCTATGGGCCAGAAAAGGGTGCTGCAGGTCACACCACAGGTGAGAGCAGCCCTGCTCTTTAGCCAAGGAAATGTGGCAGCACCATCCTTTCCTCCTAGGACAATGGTGGCCTATGTGGCAATCTTAAAATGCTAGTCTAGAATTGCTTCTCATTTTAAATGGCTCTGTGTTGATCTAACTATTGTTAGTTCTAATTGTGAAGACAAAAACCCCAACTTTCCCCTCAGATAGTTAACGAGCCGTTTCCATGTTTCCCCTAAGAGCTGGGCCTTGATTTCTTTACTTTGCAAACAAATAAATAATAGCTCTGGTGTTGTACCACTCTTGACATGTGGTTATTAATAGATCATTCCTCGGGAAAACGACACAAGATCCAGCCTGACCTACAAGTACATCATCCATGAGGATTCAGTGCCCACCATCAACAGCAACAACGTCCTGCAGGAAGAAATAGACACTTTTGAGTGGGCATTGAAGAGTTGGTCACAGTGCTCCAAACCCTGTGGTGGAGGTAAATGGGAGGATGTAGCATCTCCTAGTAATGAATGACTAATTCCCCAAAGTGAAATCTTAAAGTGACAGCTTTAGAAAGCTCGCCCTTCCTTTTTTTTTTAAAAAAAAGCACTTTGGCATTTTTGGTGCCTAACCTTAAAATATCTGAAATGCTTGATTATTCCAAGGTGTCACACTTGCAGCTGAGAAAAGAAAAGTCCTCTTCAGGTGTTGCAATTCAGTACCCTAAGCCACTTTGGAAGTACAGACTCAGAGGTTTAGGCTGCTGAGTGTTCCTTGTACTGATGGTGTGTACATTGCTCTTGAGCAAAGGCTGGATGGGGAGTGCAAATGTCAAAGTCACCTGAACTCTTAGGTACAGCAGCTGAGCAGGAGATGAGTTTTGGGAGCAAGAGTGCTAAAATGGGGCTTGGGTTCTTTCCCAGATTAGCCAGTGACCTGCTGCTTGATGTTAGGGATGTCATTTCCCCCGCTCCCTGTGCCATGATTTGTGTGTAATTCAGAGGTGAGATTAAGGGGTTGTAACTGTCCCTTCTGACCTTAACAACTTGTCACAAGCAGCATCCACAGAGCTCTGTGCAGCAATCTGACGCCTGACAACTGTCACAGACTGTGAGCATGTTTAAATACTTGTAAAGCCATTTAATAGGCCATAGAAGGCCTTAGTTGTATACGAGGACCTGGTTTTCCTGATTGGTCTGGAATATTTCCTAGGGTTCCAGTACACCAAGTACGGATGCCGCAGGAAAAGCGATCACAAAATGGTTCATCGCAGCTTCTGTGAAGCCAGCAAAAAGCCAAAGCCCATCCGTAGGATGTGCAATCTCCAGGAATGCACCCAGCCTCTGTGAGTATGTCCCACGTCACCAGAGAAGGGATTTGCTCCCTGGGGGGCAGGTGTGGAAGTTAACCCAAGCCAGGGTTTACAGGATGCTGACTGCTTTTGAATTCCTGCGCTACGGATGGGTTTTTTTCTGCCTGGATTAAGGAGGTTACTGATGATATGGAGTGGTTGTATAACCACATCAAGAGGGGAGATTTAGGTTAGATATTAGGAAGAAATTCTTCACTGTGAGGCACTGGAGTACTGTGTTCAGTTCTGGAGCCCCCAACATAAGGACATAGGGAGTGCCTGGAGCAAGTCCATAGGAAAGCCACGAGGATGATCAGAGAGGCACCCTAATGGTGCTCCACCTCTACTGTGGAGGCAGCCTGAGAGAGCTGGGGCTGTTCAGCCTGGGGAAGAGAAGGCTCCAGGGAGACCTTAGAGCAGCTTCCAGTGCCTGAAGGGGCTCCAGGAAAGCTGGGGAGGGTCTTGGCACAGGGGCTTGTAGTGAGAGGACAAGGGGTGATGGATTAAAACTGGAAGAGGGGAGACTGAGTTTGGACATCAGGAAGAAATTCTTGAGTGTGAGGGTGGTGAGACCCTGGCCCAGGTTGCCCAGGGAAGCTGTGGCTGCCCCATCCCTGGCAGTGTTGTAGGGCAGGTTGGATGGGGCTTGGAGCAACCTGGGCTGGTGGGAGGTGTCCCTGCCCATGCAGAGAGGTTGGAACTAGATGATCTTTGAGGTCCTTTCCAACCCAAACCAGTCTGTGATTCCATGATACAGAAAACATTGGATGCTAAGGCCTAGCAGCAGTGTGGATAACAAGTGAAAGTTGTGATGGCATCTGACTCCTTTTTTTACCTCCCAGCTGGGCAGCAGATGAGTGGGAATACTGCACAAAGACCTGTGGGAATTCCGGCTACCAGCTCCGCACGGTGCGCTGCCTGCAGCCCCTCCCCGAGGGCACCAACCGCTCGGTCCATGCCAAGTACTGCAGCGGGGACCGCCCCGAGAGCCGCCGGCCCTGCAACCGGATCCCCTGCCCTGCCCACTGGAAGGTGGGGCCCTGGGCTGAGGTAGGAAGCCCTGTCTCCAGCTTCTCCTTTCCCTGCTTAAACCTCGCTGTTCTGCTCTCCCCAGAAGCGTCACATTTCTTATCGGAGAGTCATGAAGGTTGGAAGGGACCTTCAAGATCATCAAGTTCCAATCCCCCTGCCATGAGCAGGGAACCACCAGACCAGGCTGCGCAAAACCTTGTCCAACGTGGCCTTAAAAACCTTCAGGGATGGGGCATCAACAGCCTCCCTGGGCAACCCATCCCAGTTTCCCACCACCCTTAGGGTGAAGAATTTCTTCCCCTGTCCCAAGCCCCTCCCCAGCTTTCCAGGAGCCCCTTCAGGCACTGGAAGGTGCTCTAAGGTCTCCCTGGAGCCTTCTCCTCTCCAGGCTGAACACCCCAAATCTCTCAGCCTGTCTCCAGAGCAGAGCTGCTCCAGCCTCTGATCATCTTGGTGGCCCTTATAACCTGGGCTCTTGGAATCAGAGTTTCCGCAAGTGTTGATGCTGTTAGAATGACTCAGGAGCAAGCATCTGAATCCTACAGCTAACTCAGTAGGCGGAGAGTCTTCTCTGCGTTTTTTGTTCTCTTTATGTTACATTGTCAAGATCAGGTAGAATAAGTAGCAAAAATCCTAATATGCCCTAGTAATAAATGTAACATTGTAGAAACACTGAGAGCCACCCCCCTGTGTCCTGCTCTGGAGCCCTCAGCACAGAATAGACATGGAGCTGTTGGATATGGTCCAGAGAAGGGCCATGAAAATGATCCAAGAGCTGGAGCAACTCTGCTCTGGAGACAGGCTGAGAGTTGAGGCTGTTCAGCTTGGAGAAGAGAAGGCTCCAGGGAGACCTTAGAGTCTTCCAGTGCCTGAAGGGGCTACAGGAAAGCTGGGGAAGGGCTTTTCACCAGAGAGGGCAGTGGTAGGACAAGGGTTAATGGTTTTAAACTGAAAGAGGAGAGAATTAGGTCAGATATCAGGAAGCAATTCTTCACCATGAGGCACTGGAATAGGTTGCCCAGGGAGGCTGTGGAAGCCCCCTCCCTGGGGGTGTTCAAGGTTAGATGAGGCTTGTGCAGCCTGGTCTGGTGGGAGGTGTCCCTGCTATGGCAGAGAGGTTGGAACCTGATGATCTTGAAGGTCCCTTCCAACCTTCAACACTCTATGGTTCTGTGAAAGCCAGAACCAAGGAAAATACCATCCTCCTCCTCTGCATGTTTCTCTGCAGTGTCAACCTTCCCTAAACTCTGCTTTTCAAAAACCAGCTGCTGAAATGTTGCCTGACCTTGGAGCTGTTGGAAAGACATGACTTTTTGCTGTGCCAGCTGAACATCCTGAGTTGTGTCTGTCCCACAGTGCTCGGTGACCTGCGGGGAGGGGACGGAGACCCGGCAGATCACCTGCCGCACTGGGGACCGCTGCACCGGGGACAAGCCCGAAGCTGTCAGGCCTTGCAAACTGGCTCCCTGCCACGGTAAGAAAACCTCTCCTGGTCTTCTGGCCTGCAGGGGGATTGGTGTGGCAGCTCCAGACACACTAGGGGCTGGCTTGCACACCTGCTGAAAGAGGGGTTGGCTTGTAGACCTGCTGAAAAAGGGGTTTAGACTCCTTTGACTTGAGTTGCACTGGCAAAAATGTGTTCTAGGGGTGAAGGTCAATCTAAAGTAGGTGTTCCTTGGATAGGTTATCCCAGGATAAGTTATACAAGTCTGACAATTGAGGAAATGAAAATAGTATCTACAAATGGAACCCCAAGGCATTAATAAGGTTCCTGGGGATCTCATTACATTGTTCTCATGGAATGTTTTTAAGAGATTTTTTTTTTAAGCTTCTTATGACAAAAAAACCTTTCTTCCTTTGAGTCCGTGACTCCACAAGGTTTGGGAGTGATTTTGTTTTTTAAATCCTAACCCTGATCACTAGCTGGTAGAAAAAACATGGTAAGACTTCTTAAAAGATGCAGTGTGTTTTCCCACAGTGCATCAAACTGCTGGCCACAGGTCTGTGCTCTTCCTTGTCTTCAGTCAGTGAAAGAACTGGAGCAGAACACGATTCTGGCAGCAATGGAGAGTTCCAAAACCTTGTAGCCACTAGGTGGGAGCAAATCTCTGTCTGTGACTCTACAAACAAGTAGGAGATTCAAAATGCTGTTTTTCACTGTTTGTGGAGTAAACATCCAGCAAATGCTTAAAGAAATCATGATGTTTTGGGGATCGATCTCTAATAGATCCTTGACCCCCTTTAAGATCTTTTCCCTGGCTGAAAGGGATGCCACACTCTTCAAGGCACCTCACTTCTGACCAAGCTGTTAGAACCTTTCCATCAGTTCTCCAGTCATTAGCTCATGGAAAAACACAAACTTCATCCAAACAAAACTTTATCCAACCGTAACATTTTATTTGAAGAGGTTCTCTCAGAGGATGAAGCATCTCTGGTGGCCTATTCAGAGTGGCCCATAGTTGATGAAGCACACTCAACATTGCCTTTCTTTTGCAGATGAGCCCTGCCTGGGAGACAAGTCCATCTTCTGCCAAATGGAGGTGCTAGCACGTTACTGTTCCATCCCTGGCTACAAGAAGCTGTGCTGCGAGTCCTGCAGCAAGCGCAGCATTGCCCTCCCACCGCCCTTCCTCACCGAAGCTGCTGAGAGGGAGGAGGAAGCCGTGTTTGACCAGAGCCATCTGCCCAGGGCCTTGATGATCCCAACCCCTGCAGTGCCCCATCATGCACAGCTCCTGCCCGGGACAGGTTCTCTGGGCAGGCTTCCTTTTGCAGAAGAGGACACAGATACGCACGTCTCTCCGTCCAACTCCAAGCCCAGAGGTACCGAGTTTCCACAATGGAGAGCTCCTCAGGCAAGGAAGACTTCCAGGCTGTTTGCTTTGCTGCACCAGTCCCCTGCTAACAGCAGCAGCCTCAATCCACATCCTGCCCTTGCCTTGGCAGCAGCTGGTCCTGTGGTGCCAGCTCGTAACACCACCATGGGTGCCCCTTCTCCATCGAGAACCTCCAGGAAGAGCGAGAAGCAAGTTGAGAAGAGATGGCCTTTAAGGTCCTCTGCTGTGGAGAGATGAGTGTGAGTGCCTTGGGGAGGACAGAGGCTTTGTTTGGGGTGTCATTTCCTTCTTTCTGGAGACTCTGGTGCATGCTGCTTTCCACGAGCAGGACGCTGCAGGTCATCAACTGGTTTCCCTTGTAAATACAAAGACCAAGAAGTGCTGGTTCACTTTCTAGTTGCTCCTCTCCTGGCTAGCTTGGGCACATGGGAGGGAAGCACCAAAGAATATCCCAAACAGGGAGTGGAAGTTGCTCAGGGCCCCAGGCAAGCTCTGGTAAAGAAAGGTGGCCCTGACCTCAGCACTCACCTCCCTGGTTTTGGTTCTAAACACATGTAGAAAATGCCCCACGACAAGAGATACCAATGTTTACACTCCTCAACATCCTTCCGCAGTGGAACAACTGAATCCACGAGACTTACTTTGCTAATTTATCTCTAGAAATGGATCTTGTATGAGCAGATTTGCAGCTGGTGTGTAAATACTGTCTTCTTGCAGAAAATCAGTCTTATTTTTTCAGAGTCTCTGTGCTGTCAGACAGCTGTTTCCCTACGTTGTGTTCTGGACAGTTGCTGGTGCCTGCCATGAAGAACTGCCTTAGGGACATTCCCAGAGCTGAGTTTTCAAGCAGAGTTGTCCTAAAAGGAGGAGTTCCATTTTCACGTGAATTACACATACTGACACTTGGAAAGGGCTTTTTTTTTTTTTTTTTTTTTTTAACAATGTGATGCTTTCTTTTGAAACGGGGGGAGAAAAACCAATAAGTGCAAATCTCGAGGTCTGAGTCTAGTTAGAGCCACCCACCCAGTGCTAACAAGAAATAGCTGTGGCAAGACCAGTAGAATTTATTGTTATATGTATGTTTGGGTTTTTTTTCCTACTGGAAGCATTGATTTAAAGGTGAGAGAGCAATGTGATGCTTTCTTTTGAAACGGGGGGAGAAAAACCAATAAGTGCAAATCTCGAGGTCTGAGTCTAGTTAGAGCCACCCACCCAGTGCTAACAAGAAATAGCTGTGGCAAGACCAGTAGAATTTATTGTTATATGTATGTTTGGGTTTTTTTTCCTACTGGAAGCATTGATTTAAAGGTGAGAGAGATATTTATTTTTTCTGCATGGTTCACCTCCAAACCTCCACAACCACAATGCATCTGACTGCAATAATGTACTCGTAATTTATGTCAGTAACCATCTGTTCACAGGCCACCCAACCACACTCCTGTGTGTTGCTGTAAAGTACTTGTATATAGGATTGAGAACTTAAAAGATATTTATTAAAAGTTGATTTCTTAATAGTATTTTATGTGCTAAATATTTACACTAAGGGCAGTTGGGTATTCTTTTTGCCAAGATAAAACAGAGAGATGGAATTAGATCCCTGTACATGCTGTGTCATATGGATAGAACAGAAATTTAAGCTAATACAACTACTGTAGATAAATTGTTGCTCTTATTCTATTAAAAAGGAAATGTCTCGTGACAGTTTTTTATTATAGGCATCTTCAGTTTCTAAACAGTTCATTCAAGTTTCAGGTGCAATGTTTGTTTCCCCTTGAAAAGTCCTCCTGATAGACACATTTACAAGCCCAGGGAGTGTGTACCTCTAAAATGCTGCCTTGTAGCTTAGGAGCCCAAGGGTGATCTTCTAGAAACACCTGAAGGATGGAAATGGTTGTCAGAAGAGTTCTGAAGGAAAGGCACTGCAGGTAGGTTCATCCTGCTGGAGAAGGGTGGGATCACACCCTGCAGGACACATCTGGGCATCTCACCCCTGAAGTCCTTGACTCGGTGCCTCTTGAGAAATGCTGCTACCTTTCTGCAAGGCTTTTGAAGGTCCAAGAAAGGAGTATTAAACAGATGGTGCAGACAATCCCTGAACCTCAGACAGAGAAGTAAGGTGTGTTTGTTTCTATGAATTTCAAAAAAAAGTCAAATTCTCTTTTCTCTCTTGTCTTGTTCTACACATATATATACAATGTGGGTGTAGAGAATCCTCATTACTTCTTTGGTTTCTATCCTGCCAAGCTCATTTCTCTTCCTAGAAAGTGTCCACTACTGATACTCTTTGTTGTACTAGGGAGCACGTAGCAATAAATTCTTGATCATATCAAGTCTTTCTCTGGTTTGATTCCTGTAGGAGGGACGGGGGGGTGTTTCATTTTTAAGTGTCCTCTTTTGCAAAATGAAGGGAAAGATACGTCCTGGGTATGACCTTTACTGTCTGGGGGAAAAAAGTTCATTTGAATTTGATTTTTAGTAACAGAAGTCCTGATTTGACCAAGGGAGAGAGTCTAGGTTGCAGAGAAATGGAGGGGAAAGAAAAGGATGGATTTTCAGTGACCCAGAGGCTTCCTGGTCCATCCAGAGCACTCCCAGCTGTGCAGTAGCAGCCTTTGCATGTCCTTCTGCTGTGGTGGTTTGCACTGGAATATGGCCCTGGTGTTCTGGTCTGTGATTGCTGATTTGGATGCTCCATCACATCAGTAGAAACACCAAGTGATGTTTCAAAAAAAGGCAAAAGCAAAGTTAATAAAAAGAGGCCAAATTTCCGTGGCCTGGGCGGGTGAAGTTTTCTGTATCTCCTGGTTCAGCTTTTGATCTCAGTTTGAACTTCAGTTTCATTCTGCCAAGAATCATGTTCTCCAAGTATGTTCTAGGCAGTTTCCAGCTGGGCAAGTAAATCTGAAGTGTCCAGTTGAATTCACACTCTTGTAGAGAATTAAGATCACATGAGCAAGGGCCTGAAACGAGTTCTAAGATCCATTGAAGAACCACCTGAGAGCGTTAAACAGCCCCATTAATCAAAGGGTGTTGCAATTGGCAACAGCAGCAGTTGTAACCTGGGTTGGGTTCCCCCCGATGGGCTGGCTCACAAGGTGACACCACCCAAGAAGTGTCTTCTAACAGGAAACTGCAACTTGAAAACGTTCCTAGAGGAGAGCTTGTTACAAAGTACTGCTTCAAAAACTGCGAGACCAGCAGGTAGGTTCTCATGGCAGGAAATTCAGTTGTTGACTTGTTAAAAAATAGTATGAGGGTGAGGAATCTTTTGAAAAGATTGCTTGTTGTCATTTGAATTGTAGTTAAGGCAGCTATGACCAGTGTCTTAGGCCAATCATCTGTGGCCAAAGCAGGAGAAGTCCTTTTCAGGTTTCTAAAACACAGAAAGGAAGTTCTGGCTTAGGAAAACTGGTATTAAGAGAGTGCAAAAGTGGTTTCTTCTGTAGGGAAGAGTCCCAGCTGCTCCCTTCAGGGTGGCTGCTTTGCCTTTCACAAGGAGCTTGTCTGGGTGCTCATGAAATCAAAACTATAGTAACGCATTTAAATCAGTTCCTTTTCTGTGTTTCACAGGGCGCAGGTCCTGAACCCAAATACTGAGAATTCTCCACTGTGATCACCCTCAAAAAGGGATGCAGGAGCACCTCACGTGCTGGTGGCAATCCCACATGAAACCATCTCTGCAGAATCTCAACAATCCTTCTGCTCAGTTTGTCCCCAGGTGCTGCTGCGCTGCTGAAGGACGGGAGAGCGAGGCCACCTGAGCTGCTCCAGCAGACAAGGCTCCTCACAGAGAAACTCCAACACGCTTTACTACCAGCATTTAGACATCAAGTAGCCACTCTCAAGTTGTCTGCCTTTTATTTCCTGGGAAACCCAGTGGGCAGAGACAGGCCCCCCAGGGGCAGAGGGACCGTGGGGCACAGCTCAGGAATGGGCACCTGAAGAACAACTGTAGATGTGAGGGGGGCAGAGGGTGGCCGTTTGTTTCCAGCTGCCTCCTTCTTCCCTGTGCTGTGTGTTCACAACCCGTTACAAATGTTTGGTCACAGAGTCAACAGAGACCTGCAGCACCAAATGCTCCTTTCCCGCTCATTTCACATCACGTTCCCTTCAGACTTCACATCAGCACAGGAGGCTCCAGATGTTGTGGTGCCAGCTGAGGAGGTTTATGCTTCTGAGGAAAAGCAGTTGCTTTCAACATGCCTTGCCCTAGCAATCTGCTACATTTCACATGCTGCCAGGTTCCTGTGACCTGGGGAAGGGAGTGCTCTAAATCAGTTATTGTAGGAAATCTGTTTAAAGCTGAAGTGCTTCTGACCCTCAGAAATGCATCTTGAAAGCCCAGAGTGGCTTGTTGCATCTCGGGTGCCATTTGCACAGAACCACTCCCATGTTCCCAAAGTGCCCCGGTGCGCTTAGTGTGGGAAGGGGCCATTAAGTGAAGAGGGGCTAAAAGCAAAACTATTCAAAGTCCCTTGTGAGAAACATGCAGGCAGGTAAATGCAAATGCAAAGCTTTCTCTCACCTGGAATACAAAGTACACATGAAAGGCCAGAAGCATCTTGGCAGGAGCCTCACCCTCTGCTTTTTAGGTGCTGAAAACAAAATATATGTTCATTCCTTCATCACACATGGTGAGCTGGATGCAGAAGACGTCAGAGCAGGTGTGAAATTGAAGGTGGCATTAACACAGCTGGGACACAGAAAAGGAAAGGAGAGAGAGGAAGAGTGTGCTGTCTGCTGCTTCCTCCTGGGTGTCACTCCTGTGACCTCTGGAGAGAAGCAATCAGGAGTCAAGCAGGAACATGTTAGAACTTCATCTTGCAAGAACACAGGAAATCTCCTGAGGCAACTGGATGTGCAGGAATGATGCATAAGGGATGCACAGTGGGGACTAAGGAACTGGTTCCCACCCAGGCAGTGTGGATTTCTGCCCAGTACAGACCAGTACATCTCCCTCTTCCCTGCAGTGGGTCAGGACATCACAGGAGGACAACAACCTCTGCAGCCTGTGACTGCTTGGCAACTGTGATGTGTTGATCCCTCCTCTGCAACCCATTTGAGGTACCAACACCTCTCTGTTCCATAGTACCTGGGAGCAGAGACAACTGTCTGGGTAAACAGCTCTCACTGCCAATGCAGCATTCCCTCTGGTTTGGGTGTGACAGGCAGGGCACGTGCAGGTGAAAATGGGTAATTGGAAAAAAACAGCTTGTAATTGGAGCAGTCAATCACTG